TGTTTGGGTTTCGAAATGCCAGACATACTTCTGGTGTGGATGGTACGAGTAGGAGGAATAGAAGGTGTTTGTGAGGTGATTGGTAGGGGGTTCGAACCAGAAGGGGTTGTTGTTGTGGAAGGCGGTTGTTGAAGGGTAGGCCTTGTACATCGTGAATAAGTGATTAGGGGAGGTGATCGGGTGGTTGCCGGAGCATTGTTGACAACCAATGGGGGAGGCGTAGCTGCGTTGGGGGTTGGTTGAATGGAGTCAGACCACATTAATGGGTGTGGGTCTGATGGTAGTTGGGTTGTAGGGGTCGGTGATGATAGGTTAAGATAGGGAAAAATAGTTTCATCGAATATTACATGGCGGGATATAATAATGGTTTTATTTTGCATGTCAAAACATTTGTACCCTCGGTGATTGATGGGGTGTGATGTGTGTAAAACTCACTTAGTTTTAATCCTACTTTAATTATCAAATAACACACAAAAGGCAGTGAACCTATCGATTGTGGTATAGCTAAATAAGCAGGGTATCGAACACAGGGAACGGCAAATTAAATTAAGAACTAATTCTATCTAAGTTGATTAAGCAAAAAGGGGTTTTTCTCTAGTTTTACAAGACTAGAAACTTACTAACTAAAACTAATTTAAGACTAAAAAAGGACAATTTAACTAGATTCAATAATGGGAAAGGAACTTCTGTTTAGTTCAACTCGGTTAACTTTATGGTTGATTTTAAGGTAATAGTGCAATGGATTAATTCTTTCGTTGGTTACCGATTCAAGTGATTAGGTTTATGTTCACTACCCTAATCCTTAGCAAATTAACTAATTCAAACAGTGGCCAATTGCTTAATTTAATTATATTACTAGATTAATTATTCGGGTTAAGTTAGACTTGCAATAGCTAATTAATTCATTATTCTTAATTTACCTCTTGTTTGATGGTCATCTTACAAGCTTGCACATGAATTTACTCAATTTCCTTATTAATTCTAGTTTCATATTCATTAATTCTAGACATATGGTATAGTGGTCACATATCATATGAGGTTGATAATCAATAGATGTTCATGCTAATCAATTATCTTCCTATTAACAGAAAATTAATTATCATTCATACACAAGGTTCTTTAGCAAGCTAAAATAACAATTATTCACCAACTTGGAATTAATCCTACCAATCAATCAAACCATATTGTCAACTTTGTATTCCCAAACAGAAGTCTAAAGAATTTAGTTCATAACTAAGGTAAATAACAGCAAACAAATAAGTTCAAGTTGCTTAATCATGTTGACAAAACAAAAGAAATAAGTAGAATGATGAAATTATGCCTTAACTACTTCCGGAATTGGATTCTAGCTTCCTTGGTCGACTTCTAGGGTTCTTCTGGCTTCTTATTCGCAGCTAAGCACTTCTGAAACTTCCCAGAATTCTCCCCTCTCGATTTGTGGAGTTATCTTTAAATATGCGTTCCGACTCGTCGAGTCCCTCTCACATTCTTCGTATTCCGATAACTATCTTGACTTCCGAATCATTATCCTTCTGATTCCGCGACCGGACTCGTCGAGTCCAGGCTCGACTCGTCGAGTAGAAGCCTTTTTTTGGGTGTTTTCCTTCTTCATTCCACTCTTGAGCTCCTAACCGCTTCTCTTGCTTCCTTTCGCTTCCGAGCTTCATCTTTGGACTGAAAAACATAATTTAACACTTTTAAGTACCTTTTGTCCATAATATGCAACAATTTAGCTAATATATGAATAAATAAACTTCACTTAATACACACTAAATATGCACATATCAAAATACCCCACACTTGTCTTTTGCTTGCCCTCAAGCAAAACTGAATTTTAATACATTAAAATTATGTATAACAACTCCAATCTAACCCAACCATTATGCCAAGACCGCAACGCATGCATTTGTGTCTAAAATTTTTCCTAAAGAACCCCCCATATTCCAAATACTCACAATCCTCATAAACATCCGCCCACTCACCCCGAACTATGCTCATTTTATGCAACCCTCCGAATCCATCCTCAGAAAACCTCTTTACCCTCAAGGTACTTTTAATTGAGCAACCCAAGCATACATATTCTAGAATTACAACTTTTCGATACCACTATGGAATTCTTTGAATTCTTCACTTTCTTGATAATTTGATCTTTGATATCTTTGAATTCACCAACTTGTATTGACTTTTGGCATCTTCAACTTTTTGGATTTCTTGGAAATTTGATCTTTAGATCTTCACTTCATTTGCTCCAAAATTCTTACAATTTTTCTTGTAATTCTCTCTCTTTTTTTTACATGTATACCTAACTTTTTCACTCAAATCCCTACATGCTTAAGCAGGGGCGCTCAATCTCAACCTTTATTGGCTAATGATAAAAATTTCCCTGGATACATTTCTAGTTTAGGCTGCTAAATATATTGCATCCCTCAGGCTGAGCAAGGTCGTGTTTTTGTCTCATGATTTCACTGAAATAAGGAAGCCACAAATGCACTAGAACGTATATAGGCTCAACTAAACATTTGGGTTTTCATGCAATTATTAACACAATTCTAATATGGAATCCTAATTTTTTTACCAAAATTTTCTAAATTAAATCCTAAATAATACTTTTGGTATGCAATTTTTTTTTTTTTAAAATTGACTATTATGTAACCAACCCCCTACCCCATACTTATGTGATGCAATGCCCTCATTGCATATTATGCATAGAAACATAAAAAAAAGAGGGAATTGGAACAAACTCCCCTGGGATAGCAGTGGATAGGTTGATCACTCTCATTTAAGCTCCAACTTTAATCAACTTTAGACATGGGAACATCCCATCCATGTCTTGGGTGTTTCGTCTTGTGTGGGTCGCTCCAAATATGTGAAAATCAGTGTAAGATCTTCAAGAATGGATATGGAAGAATAAGGAAGCAAGTGGTATAAGTATTAGCATCAAATCAGCAGTCTTTCGGCATAAAAATGAACGACTCGTCGAGTAGCAGCATGCCTTCTCAGAATTTGTGGAAATACAAGGCGACTCGTCGAGTCAGCTTAGTGCACTCGACGAGTTGGCCACTGAATGAAAAATATTGGTATTTTGCAACTGTTTTAGCCTATAAAAACTTCTTTAACCCTTCCTCACATTCGGACTCAATTGCTCATACCCCTAGGACCGGACTCGACACTTTGACGTTAAAAACCCGCTTCCTTGACTCGCTCTCACTCGCGAAAACATCCATGCTTTACATCTCTATACCATCCTAAGCAAGCAATCATAATTCAATCCTGAAAAATAACTAAAGCAAACAACCATTAAACATAATAAAATCTCAAAGCATACACACCAAAAAAATAAAACAAAACAAAAAATTAAAATTGTTTGATTAAAAACACAAAAACATCAAAATCAATCTTCATCCTCCTCATCATCATTGTTGGCTCCACTTCCCCCGGCTCCGCTTCGTCGCGCACCAATCCTCTCATCCCAAGATGGAATGAATGGGTAATTCCCACCATCAATATGTGGAATATTGAAGTGGTCAAAAAGTCGTATGTGGGATTGGTTGCTAAAGTTCAGCCCCCTCGCCATTTGATCCTGCATCCGCCTCATCTCTACATTGTACCAATCCATTGGTACGTCTTCATTCTCGACCGGAATCACTGGCGGCTCGTCCTCCACATCCCGTTCTCTTCTTGATCTCACCCTCCTTCCCGGTGCTTCGGGACCAACAACTGGGTCATCATTTGGGATGGCATAATGGCCACCACCATAGTCTTCAATTATTCGTGCTCTTCGGAAAAGAATGGGATTAAACGGGGGTGTCGGGATCAATGTCATGAAGTTCCAGGCACCGCGGTTCATCAACCCGAATGAATTAGCCAATCGAGTGACAAACATTCCTCCATTGATACGGGAGGTTTTGCGATCTTTGACCGCACCCTCCGAAAGGTATGAAGCAATACACCACGGGATGTTGCAAAAGACGCCGGGTGTTATTATGCTCCATAAGTAGAAAACGTCAAGGTTGGAGACCTTGTCATCGTCTTTCCTTTGGTTGATGGTGGAGGAAATAAGGCGGTGAATGAGGCGGTGAGTTGGGGATCGGATGCTCCCTTCTTGTGCAGACTTTGGGATGTAAACTTTATTTCCTATGGTATTCCACCAACCCGTGCTTGTAACTCCATCGGGGAACACCATGTGAGTGTTTGCCAAAAAGGCCCGAAAGATGTTTGTTGACACCAAGGGTTGATCATAGATCCCTAGTCGGCAGGCAAGGTCCACCACCGAGCATTGACGATACTCGCCCCCAAGACAAAAAGTAAAGCTCGCCGGATGATACACATCCACTCCCCCGGTAAAAGATACCGTGGAGAAAAACTCCAAGCAAAGCTCTAAATAGACCGGCTCTTGTATGCGGAAGACCCGGCTCCACCCATCGCAGATCATTGTCTCGCCTTCATGTTGGAACTCCTTCAAAAGGTAAGGAGCTAATTCTTCTTCATATCTAACACTTTGCAGCCACTCCCAATCAATTCTGTTCGGCACATACACCTCCTTCTTTTAATGTCGGAGAGCTTCTTCTTCCACTTCCTCATTGTTGAAGCGGATTCAATTTGCGGGAAGTTTAGCCATGGAAACTCCCCTTGGCTACCACTTGAAGATTGTCCTCTTCTGAACATGATTTCTGCAAAACATATAAACAAAACCCAGAAACACAGAATATAATTAAAAACTGGATTGTATCTGTAAATCGACTGGACTCGTCGAGTCCATGCCCGACTCGGCGAGTCGCGCAACCTGCACGAGTCGGTCGACGGGTCTCATAAAATTGGACCATTAAACCTGTAAATTCTTTCAAGGTTTTGTCTCAA